CCCTCCCTCCCCCCTCTCTCTGCGAACAATTTTTTCCGCTATGCAAATAGACTTCTATACCTTTTCTTTTTTTAAATAAACAATAATTTGTATTTTACAACTCTGCCTTAAAAAAGAAACTCGGTATGTTTATGTGCCAATAGCTGCATATTGCAATTGCTACACTTTTATTGCCAGTGATGTCAATGGGAGGTTATTTAAGGTGAATTGTGTGAACTCAAGAATCTGGTTTTCTTCCCAGCTTTTAGAACTGTAAACATTTTGAAGAAATCTTATATTTTTCCTTTATATTTGGAACTGCACGCTTCTCTTGGCTGAATTAGGCAATTGTGATTGGAAATGCGTTCTTTATTTAATCTTGAGTATTTATCTAGATTAAGCATAGCATTCTCTTCAGACTTTTAAATAAACATTGCCCTCTAGCAGTTGAATTGCTTACAGTTAGGTAAGGTATATGAATAAAAAAAGTGACACAAATTATGAAGGAACATTGAATGACTTCTTTCTGCATGAATTGTGGCACAAACAATGGTATAATTAGCAAAGACCATGGAGGAATATAACTCTCAATATTTTGTCAGTGACATTTTTAATGCAAAAATCAAATTAATCACTGGCAAAGAAACTGCAGATAAATATGCTATGCTTAGAACAGCATTTTTTAAATAGGATCCATCTTTCTCTGTCTTAGTTTCTCAATACTGGATTATTCCTCTGATAAACTGAAGAAAATTAATACCATTTAATCCCATCTTGTCAGCCTTACGAGGCCATCCAGAAGAAGCATGACCAGATAAATTAATTCTACTTTATTGTAAGTTTACATTAGCAGAATCTTGCAAATCTGAAAGTACATTTCTCTCCTGTTGCTTTTACAGCCCAAGAAGATAAGGGAATCCCTTCTGAGACATATGCCCTGCCCTCATTTCTGGTTTGGCTAAATTGGTTCTTATCTAACCATTCCACTGGCTGTGGCTGTTTCATCTGTCTCCCAATATTATTCCTGTACAGTGGTACCTCAGTACACAACTTCTTCAAAACTTGTCAAATTTGGTACTCAATACATTTTGATGTGAAACTGTTGTCCCAGTACTCGGCATTTATTTAGTATTTGACATGCTGTAATAGGAAGAGAGGGAGAGCTGTGTTAATTCATATGGCTTTGAATATCTTAAAGTTATGATATTCTGGAAAATGGCCATTTGACTTTCAACAGATATATAGAGTGTTGAGAGCTGTGTTTTTATTCCAGCTGTGTGGGCTACTCCAGTGTAGAATGTTAACACAAGAGAAAGGTAAGGCTCATAGCTGGACATATATATACTTTTAAAAATGACAATAAATAAAACCCAAAATTACATTAGTCTTGCTTCACTCAAAGAGATCTGTTACATAAGGTGAGATTATAACTCTTATTGGTGGACTGCTCATGTCAGTGTTAGTGTGGCTGTCACTCAGTACCTCCATTTTTTCTCCATATATGGATATCTATCTCTACCTCAGAGAGAGAGAGAGAGAGAGAGGGAGGGAGGGAGGGAGGGAGGGAGAGGGAGAGGGAGAGGGAGAGGGATTGGAACTGTCAAACTGAATCACTCATTAAAACTTGTCAGAATCTTAATAATACATCTGTAAGTCTAAAATCATGGAAATGTAGATTTATATCTATTACCACCTGCAGAATATCTCCAGGTTACCTTAGAACAATTATTCAGTTCAATTTATCTTACAGAAGTTTTCTGATACAGTGATTTCAGACAGATCCTGTTTGAAAGAAATGCCATGACTTTAAATTAATAGTTCAATAGATCATTCTCTTTATACTGTGGACAGTGAGTAGCATAAAAGGAACTTGTTACGCCCAAGTTTGTTCTTGTGAAAGAAGGTATATTTGCTGCTTGTCCTTAAATAAGATTGTGCTATCGCATATATGTTTTCAACAATTGGTCTTTCTTTGTCCACAATAATCCAGCTAGAAGAACTCAATGCCAAAAATTAGAAGAACAATAGCATATGAGATTTATTAAGAGTTTCTGAAAATAATCAGGGAGAAAATTCCTGTCTTTGTTTTCTTTTGGCAAGCCTTTATTCAGTTTTTCGACTAGAGAAGATACTGGAAGTCCTAGAAGTGTCCACTTGAGAATATTTTAAGAAACCACTGAGACAGTTCAAGACTAAAAAGAAGGGTGGCTTCTGAGAAGGGATAGGATTAAATGCTTCAACATTTTTTTCTCATTATTTGCACTTTGTTCAATTTAGGCCTTAACACAATGATATAGCATTTTGGAAAAAAGATACATCCTATGAGTCCAGCACCAGAGGCTAAGATAGAAAACATCTCCACAGCAATTGTATATTTTCCCTTGGAACTCAGATAGGTTGGAACAAAAGAGATCCAAACACTACAAAAGACCAACATGCTAAAAGTGATAAATTTGGCTTCATTAAAAGTGTCTGGTAATGTCCTGGCAAGGAAAGCCACAGCAAAACTGATAATGGCCAGGAAGCCCAGATATCCCAATACAGAGTAAAACATAACCGTAGAACCTGCACTACATTGCAGTACAATTTCTCCAGTCACTGAATACATATCCATGCTTGGAAATGGGGGAGAAATTGTCAACCACCCAACACAAATGCCTGCTTGAACAAGGAAGCAGGAAAGAACAATGGAGCTGGCAAGTCTTTTCCCCACCCACTTCCTCATCCTAGATCCTGGTTTGGTGGCCATGAAAGCCAGAACGACTGTGATGGTTTTGGCCAGCACACAAGAAACAGCCACTGAAAAAATGATGCCCAATGCTGTTTGCTGGAGAAGACAGACCACTTTTCCTGGTTTGCCAATGAATAGCAATGTGCAAAGGAAGCAGAGCATGAGGGAGATAAGAAGAGTGTAGGTAAGACTCTGGTTGTTGGCTCTGACAATGGGAGTGTGATGATGTGTCACAAATATGCCAAGCACTAAAGCTGTCAGTGAAAAAAAGAAAAAAGCCAGGAAGGTAAAAGTGATTCCCAAAGGTTCTTTGTAAGTCAGAAAAGTTATAATCTTAGGGTAACAGGAATCTTGATTCTTATTTGCATATTCTTTGTCTGAACATGTCTTACATTCATTCATATCTGAAAAAGAAAAGACAAGACAGTGTTTAACTTCTGTAGTTGTCATAATTCTCTGCCTTAATTAAAGGTAGTCCTCCAGTTACAATCATCGCCTAAAATTTATGTTGCTAAATTAAACATTTGGTAAGTTTTGCCTTATTTTACAACCTTTCTTGCCATAGTTGTTAAGAGAATCATTGCAATCATTAAGTTAGTAATACTGTTGTTAAGTAAATCTTGCTTCCCATTGACTTTGCTTGTAAGAAGGTTTCAAAAGGGGATCCCATGACCCCAGGACACTGCAACCATCATAAATATAAACCAGTTGCCAAGCATCTGACTTTTGATCACATGACCATGGGGATGCTACAAAGATTGTGAAAAATCATAAGCCTTTTTTTTCAGTGTCCTTGTATCTTTGAAAGGTCACTAAATGAACTGTTGTAAGCTAAGGATCACCTGTGTTTCTCTCAGACAGCTGAGTTGATTCACCTCCCTAAGTCTTGGGGAAGGGCGCAGACCGTTGGGCGCTGAGGTAGAAGCAGCCATTGTGGCAGGGAAAGTGAGGCTTCGTTGCCATCCTCCCAGCTGGCAAAATAGAACTTTTCACACGGTTCAGTGGGTATGGCTAAGGGAGGGGGGCTGTGACTGAGTGGGTGTGTGCATGAGTGATGTCAAGTTGACCATGCCCACTCAGTCACATGCTCCCCAACCTAGCCACGTCCACCAAACCAGTAGTAAAAAATGTTGAAACCCACCCCTGGGTCTCACTCCTTTCCTAAGAAGTCTGTAGGGGATGTGCATAAGCGCACCAACATGCCTACCATCCCTGACCTATTGTCCCCATTTATTCATACCAATTTCCTGTGTTCATGTCCATGTTTATACTTATACCTCCTACTGTATCTCATACATTTTTGAGAAACTGACTAACTATATAAATAAAATCCAAGATAAGCTTGGAGCACATCTGACCATTTCATGCAATCTAACTTGACTCTCAAAATGAAGTCATCTATCTCCTATCTGCAAACTAGTATTTCTTACCTTCTTTGTCTGAAATTTTCCCTTTCGGACACAGGACACAGTCATAACAACAAAATGGCTTCCATTCCCTCACTTTTTTACTAGAGCCAGGATGGCAGGGATCACTACATAGTGATAAAGGCCGAGTCTAAAATAAAAGAGAAGGACATTCATACTGAAAATAAGACAGAAAAGATTAGTTCCTGGGTTTTTCTGTATGTTATTAAACTGGTAAAACATGTTTCAATAATCACAGGTCTGCAAAAAAAGTTTTTTCTGAGAGCTGTTTTGGTTATTCCACGTAATCTTTATGTTTTTTGGTGCGCTGAATCTGAAAATGACCTCCATTTTGTC